GAGAAAGAATAAACTAGTTTTAATTAAGAAAGGACTTGTATCGCTGAAGTTTCTCGGAAATAATTTTACGGGAATTTATCAAACTGTAAAGACGCTAAGTGCACATAGCTCTTGCTTAGCTTTGCGCGAAATTCAGAAATAAATATTCCCATAAACTATCAAATTTTAATAAGAAATATTAAGCATGAAAGTAAAATTTTAGTGTGATCATTTGAAAATAATATTTTTTACCTAAATTTCATAATTAATATGTAAGGCTAGTATCAAAAATTCGATTTTCTGACTAAATCCAAGAAAACTGAATAGTGTTACGACAGCAGAAGTCACGTGACCCAAGTAACACGTCATGAACTTCTAGAAAAATCCTGTCCCTTCCTGAAGTCTCGAGAGGTTACTAGATATGCGGTATTCTTGTATATAATCCGCCAAGAAGTGACGGCAACAATGTGTAATTGAACTGCAGACAGAGATAGATACGGACAGTTGATTCGAGCACATGAGACGTTCGTTGTGCATTATAGCGTTTGTTATAGCGCGACTGTGAAAATTAAGTGTATTGCAAAGTTGTATTCAGAAAGAATAAACCAGTTTTATCTAAGAAAGGACTTGTATCGCTAAAGTTTCTTCGGAAATAATTTTTACGGAAAATTAACTAACGACCAGAGACGTAACAGTAGGAACATTGTATGTTTAACTGTCAAAAAAGGAAGAAAGGAATGAAAGAAAAATTCTGCTCACTATATCATGAGTTTTTTCGTTCAAACATTATTGAAAGTACTTAAGACATAAATTTAGAAGGAGATTATTCTGTCAGCTAGTTTACATCATGTTTAAAACTTGAATATGTTTTACGCGTTTCTGTATTGTATTAAAGTGTAATGAAAAGTGAAACCGAAATTTAGAAGTCACTTTGTGAATATCACAGCTTACTTACTTTGACTAAAGGCGGCGTTTGAATAAAGTATCATGGGGGAGGTGAATTTTGATGTTTTACTTCACTTGCTAAAGGTAAATGCCTTTACGGATGTTAAAACATAAACCCAACAAACCTAAGCGTGTTTACTATTGCTTTAGCGATTTAAATGTTTATGGGCAGTGTAAATAATAAAGTATTTATCTTTTATAATCCTCTTTACTGCTAGTGCTAGATTATCAATATCATTGTCAAAATCCAACTTCATTATGTTCAAGTTCATGATTTTATCATGTTCGTGCCAGGGTAAATTGTAAAAAAAGAAAATAAATTAAGTTTAACCCTGTGCTGAATAGTACTAGTAATATTTATTTGTATAAACTAATATTAGTAATTATACTAATGTAATGTTTAAAATATGAAGACATAAATCTGTGATATAATGGCCTAAGAGTAAGAGAAAGAGTTAGTAAGACTACTAGTAGTAAGAGACTTAAAACTAAAAGTTTAAAGATGATACACTAAAAGTAAAATGGTTTTTAATGGATATTAATGACCAGATCTTTCAAATACGTAAAATCAAGTTAAATATAACAAAGAGCAAAATTCAGGAAATTTGTTTCTATAAAATGTAGTTTTGCATAATAAAATAATAAGTTTCACATTAAAATATTATTAAACTTCTTACCAAAACTTATAATCACAAAATTTGTAAATAGCAATTCTGCAAGTCTATACATTTTACTTATTTAAGCTATTACAATGTTTCACATTTTAATTTTATTATTGCTGGGGCCATTTTTTATTATTATAAGGTCTGGTGGTTAAGCCTCTCAACTTACAATCTGAAACTCTGGTGGTTGAATCCTCATCACCAAATATGCTCGCCCTTTTGGCCATGGGGGCATTATATGTCATGGTCAATCCCACTATTTGTTGGTAAAAGAGTAGGCCAAGAGTTGGTGGTGGGTCGTGTTGACTTGCTGCCTTCCCTCTAATTTATCACTGCAAAATTAAGGATGGCTAGCACAGATATCCCTCCTGTAGCTTTGTGTGAAATTCAAAAATAAATTTATCATTACAAGTTCCAATCACACTACTTGCACTACTGCTAGTCATAGGCCTATAGTGTGTATGGATGTGTTCTTTTACATGTCAACCTTAAGCAAAAATATTAATTATGTATAGATCTGTAGCAACTCATAAATTGAGTTAAGAGTACTAAAACTAATCACTTGGTTTGCTATTATTATTTTTTAAACTTTAAAATACTTGGTACAAGAAGTCAAAAACATTGATCAATGTAGTCTGTGCTGTAGATCAGTATTTCTTAACCTTTTTAGTAACACAGCCCATCTAGAAATCAAGAAATATCCTGTTGTCCACCTCTTATAGAATTTTATGAAAAAGTAAGAATTCCTAATTAATCTTAAGTCATTCCATAACCCATATCAGATTGCTTTGTGCCTACCAGAAACACAGTGTTAGATGATAGAACTTCCAGTTAGAAATGTGTTTGAATTTTTTCAGTGTAAATACATTTGAATGTTTTATGATGAAATATAAAATATTTTCTATTATTATAAGTATTCTGCACAGGAATTATTAAAACAGGATATCTTGAACCATTTATTTTCATATAATCGAACTATTCTTCTGTGAGGTTAAGTTAATAAAGCAAGTAACTTGAAAATTAATGGCTACAATTTTTTTTTTGTTATTGAGTATTCAATATTCATTTACAAAAGTTGAAAACTCAAAGCCAGAGTAGATTCTTAATGATTGATTGTCCTGATGTTATGCTTTTTCATATTTTAATTCATGAAACCATGTCTTCTATATGTACTTGTGTTTACCATGTATTTATTGTTCAGGTTATGTTTCATGGTTTAAATTTGCTCTGAGGAGAACATATAGAAAGACCTACCACAAAGCTAGTAATGAAAAAATTTTGTTTTTAGACCTTGTGTGCTACTATAGTAATACTTATGAAAGTGAACTCTAGTGATTTCTTTACACACACACACGGGTAACAAATATATATCCATAGAGGTATAATAAAATATGTTTATTCTTCATCATGTTTTAGAAATTCTACATAATACCTAGTGTAAAGCTATTTTGAAATGAAAAATTGAAAACCAAACAATTATTTTGATAACCATCAAGGTTTTATAAAAGGAGTTACACTTTTAGGATATTTTCTAATGCATTTTGTTCACCTATATTAGACTTTATAAGCTTAAACTTTAGTGAAGTGTGTTTCAATAATTTCAGCCATTTTTTTACAAAATAGGTTTCCATGTGAATCTCTCAAAATATTAGTGTTAGCCATTACTTTTTTTACTTTTCATGCAGGCATAAAGATCCTCTCATTCTAGTCATATTTATAGCTTAGAGTTAAATAATCCAATTTTCTTTAACAGTAGTTTCCTAAACTTTTTTCTCAAACATCCTTCATTTTAATTGTAAATTATAACTTTGTACAGTGTTTGTAATCACAATAATGTTTTAATTTCTTGCTAATTTAATTTAAAATGTGCCTTTTGTTTTAAAAGTAAAATTTTAAAAGGAAAATGTTATTTTCATATTGTTAATTGTAACTTTATAAAGATTTTTACTTTGTAGTTTAGCCTCCATGTCAATCTTTGTAACATACTTCCTGCAACTTTTGAAAAATGGCTAACCTTAAATTAACAACACACTTTATTAGCTGTAAGAGTAATATCAGTGTGAAAATAACAGCAAATGATATGCTAGTTCTAAAATTTAATTATAAGTTTAATTAACATTGTGAGGCTCATTTATGCTTACTAATGAATACAGGTGTAGTAAAGTTTTAAACATAACTGCAGTTGTGTTTATTATTTGCTAACATAAACAACAAGGAATGATTCCAAAATATTTGAACTACCTTAAGGCAATCAGTTAAGAAACAAAAATATATAAAGTGTGTTGGAGTAGTCTGAAAGAAATAACTGCAAGTAACTGTTTTTGATTATGTTGTTAAAATAATGATAAACTGTAAACATTCTATGGTCTTTTAGTTTCTAGTGATTAGTATGCATGGCTGTGGATCAGAAAATATAAAGTTTACACTAAAATGCTACTGAATACACACTGTACTTTTAGTTTAGGACACATTGTAAAAGTAATAGTCAATCATACTATTTTTCAGTTCAAAGAGCTTAACAAAGGATTTGTGGTGGTGAGTACTACTGACTAGCTACCTTCCCTCTGTAGTTCATGATTAGGGATGGTTTTATCTTAATACAGGGGTTCTCTGACATGGATGTTGAAGTCCATGAGTCTTATATGGTACTTTTCAGATTTAAAATTGTAGTTTTAATTTTCTTAGCTTGAAGTGAGCTTTATGACACCTAGGAAATTTTGGAGTGACAACAGAAGATAAAATTTTTAATACAGACTGATATCAATACTCTGTCTTCTGCACACTATAAACCAGGATGTGTGTACTGCTGTCATTCATAGAGGATTATGATGGCTCAGTTTATTAATCATAATCATATTGCTAAAGGATTGTTTCCCAGCACCTATAGAAATAAAGGTATGCATTGTTATAGTATATACAGATGTGTGTGGAATGTTTGGAAAGAACATTTTGTTTAAGAGATAGAAAGATATAAAATATTCTTGTCTTCTCCCTATTCCACAAAGAATACATAAAAAATAGAATATAACTTTTAGTGTTTTGCTTTCCTTTAACAGTAAGCACACAATGAGAATAATGAAAATGGCAGCGCAGTTTTGTTGGAAAAAGTGTATATTGTTGGATTTTGTATTCAAGCTCTCATTCATAAACCATGGCAGTGATTCATAATAGAGATCACCCATTTGTTGTTCTTTTTATTATTGTTCTACCAGGATACAGCAAAAATGAGCATGAATATTACAATCATCAAACCTGGGCAGTATTACTAAATGAATTATTAAGTATTGTGTAGGTACTTTTTAAGTTATTTCTATATTTTTTCATAAGCTAAAACAATCATTAATCTAGTGTAAAGGATGTTATCATTATTCCTTAAAGTTAACTTTCTGGTGTTACTTTAAGAAGCTTAAGTACAAGGTGAAACAGGAATTACCAGCCAATAATAGATGACTAATATGTAAATACTTAATGCTTTATACACTGTGCAGTTGGTGTATTTAGAGAGCAAACTAATTATGTGTGAAGTGAAGAGATAACAGAACACCAACTGAATGTAGTTCACATTCTGAGATGTGTATTAAAAATCAGAATCAACTTTTTGACTATTATGAAAAGATGTTAACCATTCCAAATTTTGCAGAATTACTCTGCCTTTATACTCCAGATTAAGCCATTATAATCATAATATTTACATTTTTTTATGGTTTGATATAACATGTACAATAAATTTGTTATTAGGGTGAGATAAAACAACATTTCCAAGACTGGATAATTGGATTTCATTCAATCACATTTTGTAGGATGGTAATGTAGTACCACTTTGAAAGTTGTGTAATATGTGTATATATATATGCAAGTTGAAGATCTGTACTATCCTATATGTAGATGATTTTATTACACACTATTTAAATAAGAGGGGTTATTATATATAGTTAATTTTACAATTTAAGGTAACTACCCCACAGAGGTTGCTACTACATCTACAATATGTCACAGTCATTGAATGATAGTCTAAACCTAGGATGTTTTGTGTTTAAGATCGTGACCTACTGTTCTGCCGATTCTCATGCAGTAAACAAAGATTGATTTATTTTGTAGTTTTATGAAAGAAATCTTAGAAAATCATGGTGGTAACATAACTCAGTGAAGTGAAAGAGAGTTGTTCATCCCCAACTTACGCCTAAAAAAGGTGTAACATAGTTTTCATTTTGTAAAGGTTATGCTTACATGTATTACACATTAAAATACACATGTTCGTTTGTTTGTACAATATAACATTTATGGTTCTTTGAAAATTAACCAATTACACAACTTTAGTCTGGAATGTTGAGTCATGTAAAGCCATTGGAAATTTTCAGCACCAAATATCTCAGCCATTTATAACCAAATTTGGATCTACTGGTTGGTATGCGTGCTTATTAG